CCAGCTCTTAGATCAAATCATGAATCCTTAGCTGGTTTTTTTCCTCTCTTCACTGTCCAATTGCAGAGGGAAAGCAAGAGAGTGGCTTTAGAGGGTACCTGGCATCTGACCAGGATCAACCCACTACAACTGGTCACCACTGGCAGCCCCATGCTGGAGCAGCAACAGCAAGTAGGGACAGGGATAAAGTGCATATGGGAAAGTGGAGCCTATAGATTAGTATTTTTGTAAGCACCAGGGGATCCACTCTTCAATTTTTTCTTCCAGGACTTTTTTTGAATTTCAGGTTATACTGGATAAAAACTGAAATGAGAAATGAGAAATAAGGTGAACTGGGGTTATAGTCATGGATCAGAACTCTTAAGGGAATTAATACCTTTCTAATTACGTTACAACTGGGCTTTACCTTACCTAGGAATATATTATATATTGACCCAATTCAAAATAAAAAAGTAACAAATGTCCCTTGGCATTTAGATACTTTTTATTCTGGGAAAGGTAGTTTCAATTTTTCATAAGCACAAGTGAACCTGAAACTCACTTTTTCAAAAGAAGCTTTTGAATTTTTAGTTCATCCTTTGTGCTTCCAGCTGATGTGACCTCTACTAAATAACCTAGACAAACTTAGTGTCTGGATCCCAAGTAGCCTTTAACCAGGATGTATATTTTGATATTCAATGCCTTAAAGACAGTGGTGCTCAGAATTCATGTTACAGAATTCACTGTGTGAGAAACAATAGCGTTTGGGACAGATATCTGAGTTTCCTGGACCCTTAATCATATTTTAATTGGCTTTGGTGGATTACCTTTCTGAATGTACGCTCTAAATCACACTTTGAGTATCTAAACAGTTTTTGTTTAAAGTTTGGCATTATCATTGTTTAACCATTCATACGTGTTCATGACTTTTTGGTAGTCTTTCTTAAAGAAATTACTATGGTTTTTACTGTAACTTTTAGAAATATTTTTTTACAGTTGTTGGTTTTCAAGTAATTAATTATTCTTCTGTTTAAATTAGATTTCACATGATTAATAAATATTTTTGAAGAAAAAGTGAGGTTATTGAAATATCCTGTCTGGTAAAGCAAAATCACTGCAAGCTAACAGGCTTTTTAATTTCATGGTTGATCTTGAAGTTGCATGAGATCATGAATTATAAAACAAAAGCTAACTAATCTTTACAGTCTTTATTTTCCTCATGATTTGCAGAAGTATTCAAGTACCTCATTCAACATAAATACATTATCATGAAAATATAATATAGCTAATTTACACCTTTGTGGGTCAGACTTGGAAGTCCTTTGCACTGATTTTTCACAATTTACACCCTTTTAAAGGTCTAAGCTATAAAACAGACAAAATGTGTCTTCTCCAAAATTTTAACTCGAGAAATGTTTTCCTTCCTATTCTAATTACGTTGTTTTCAGAAAGCATAAATTCTAACACTATTTGCTACCTCAAATTGAGAAATGAGCCCAACCTTTTATTTTTTCCTTTACTGCAAAGGTATAACATCTGTATGTACTTAGATACCTACCTCCTATTCCTAGTTCATCCTTGGTTTGCATGTAGGTATTTAGAAGCCTGACCACTCTAGATCTGAGCCACAATGGTCCATGATCATTATCCCACAGTTTTTATGGTAAAGTTTCCTACATTTCATACATGTAATACCAGCAGTACTTGGACAACCTCAGTGTGATCTGTAGTCAATTCTTGACGCTGCTGTCAGCTCAGGGAAGGCAGTGCAAGAAAAGAGGTCCTGTGATTCAAAATGTGCAGTCAGAATCAAATATTAGCTTCAAGCTGACATGAGCTTTTGCCCACAAGCAAAGCTGGGGGCTAGCTTTTGGATCCTTCAGTACTCTGCCTATAAGGGGGTCCAATACCTGAGTCCACCTCTTGTATCTGCCATACCTGGGCACAGGTACAGTATAACATTGACTTCCATCTATTTCTAAACAGGAATACAAAGGTTCCTATGATGCTATCGCTGCATATATGTATTTGAAGCCTGGGCTGTGGCATCAGTGTGGCAGAAGTATACAAAAGATTGGCACAGGTTGTCAAGTGTTAGGAAGGTGGGACTGGATAGGAGTAGAGATACTACTTAATAAAGACAGAATGATGGTAGATATAAGAAAGTGAAGCAATAATTTGAATTGTTGTGAAGAAATAAAATATTATGTTACAAGACAAAAGACAAATGATACAGAACCTGTTTCCTGTAGCCACGTTTACTGGCTGACATAGAGGTGCATGCTCCTGTTGTTGCTTCATGGTTGGTACTTATTTCTGGGATCTTTCGCTAACAAAGCCCAGATAAACTATTCCTGGGAAGTTCATTTTACGGCAACTTGTGTTACCAACAAAGTTTGTTATGTTTCTTTAAAATGGAGTCTAGCTTCAAAAAACAAAAATGGTGCAATGTATAGATGCCATTGAATTGTTCTAAACTGGGAATTTCGAAGAAAAATCATACAGTCATAGAATATCCTGAGTTGAAAGGGTCTTACAAAGATCACTGAAGTCCAACTCCTTCCCCTGCACAGGACAGTCCCAAGAATCACACAACATGCCTGAGAACATTGTCCAAGTGCTTCTTGAATTCTGTCAGGCTTGGTACTGTGCTGACTTCCCTGGGGAGCCTATTCCAGTGTCCAGCCACACTCTGAGTGAAAAATATTTCCCTGATATTCAACCTAAACCTCCCCTGACACAGCTTCATGCTGTTAAAATATTTTCTTTTACTCAGAAAATGGGACCTGGAGAGAGGGATATCTGTGCTCTCTCAAAGGGCATTTAATAGACTTCCAGAAAGTACTGCTAAGAGAAAGGTGTTTCTATGGGAAAAGAATGAAAAGATGAGATGGTAGAAGATGTGGTTGTTGAGCATAAGAAACTGGGTAGAAAAAGAATCACACCAAAAAAAACAAGTAAAACAAATGAACAAATATTTTGGAATAAGAAGTTCAGTATTTCAGCTAGGTTTTTAAGTAGTCTTGGAAAAACTGTAAGTGTTATGCTTCAAAGCATCCTTTAGAACAAATAGTAAGCAAACCTTACACAAATATATAGGTAGACAAGAATTCACTGTTAGTGTAACACAAATCCTAATGGTCTAATTCAAGAATCACTGTAAACCTTGATCTAATTTTTACAGAAAAGGAAGCATAATAATGCCGTTAAAATGTTATGCACACATTTTGTTCCTACCTCTTTTCTGTATGTTACAATCGCACTTCCACTGCCTTAGTCCTGAGGCCTTGTAAATTCACTAAAAAGCTAATGGTCTGTTACTAGCGACAGCAATACTGTATTACAGGCCTGTGTGGTTATGAATCAATCATACCAGGATTTAGGTGTAAATATAATAAGCAAACTTTGCCTTATCCTTTTCTTGCCCAAGGAAATAATTTCTACAGAAGAGTGTGAAGGGCAGAAGCAGAATGACTTTTATAGACCATCAGTGGCTGGAACCCAGGTTGAGAGAGAGACTATATTAAGATTTTAGAGGGGTAGAAATGAAAGAGCTTTTGCTATTAAAAGGACAAATATCACTCTTGTGGTAAGGACTGTTAAAGGAAATAAAGTAAAGTAAACCAAACCAAAATAAAGTAAAAGCCTTCAATATCTGAAAAGAGGACAGGAGATGTTGAAACCTGTCACCCATGACTATGTAATATTTTTGTTTCTCATAATCAAGACAATGAGAATACACTGAAATACGCTGCAGATTTTAGAAAGAATAGCTTGTCTGTTTCAGAGGTCTGTTTAAATCTGATTTGTTTTTGTCTAATTTGCACTACAGAATTGAAAATCTTTCATACTACAATGCCTCTCTTCAGTTGAATGGAATAATTCATTAATTTGTTGAAGCTCTATTCATTTAAGATTAGAGCAGGATAATGTTAACAGATAGTTTGTTTCTTATAACTCTACTGCTAAGCACTGAAAAGTCTTGAAAATAATGTAAGTATACTTTATAATATCTGTTTTGAGTTCAAGAACAGATTTGAGTTAGATGGCTTTTGATTAAATTCATTTTTATGCAGATGACTCACACTCCTACAACCCTCTCTCAGGTGAGAGGAGGAACTGTGTAAATTTATGCATCGCACATTTTTAGTAACACAACAATAATTCTAAGAACTGAAAGACTCACTTAGAAGGAACAAAGTTAATTTCAGTTTACTCCTCATAAGTTAAAAACAATAGCTCCCAATTTCCCTGAGAATTTCCTAATTCAGCGGGGTATAGATTTGTACAGATAAAAGAAATGGAATCTTTTCCAGACTTTTTTTCTGATCCGTGACACAGCTTCAAAAATGTGAAGTCATAGCAAGATATGAAAGATGCATGTGTGCACACGTGAGGTAATGTTTGGTAAGGACACTAATCTGAGAATAAGGAGTTCTGGCGTCTTCCTACTAGTATTCTCATGCAATACCTAAACTTCTCAGCGCAGTTACAGAGCTAACCAGTTTTGCCTCCTGACGTCTAGTACAAAGTACATAACATTGTTACAGCAAATGAGAAGTTGGATATACAATAGAGAAAGACATTGCTTCTATGTGAGAGGTGGAACTGTTGTTGTAGTCAAGAGCACCAGTTCTCTCTGGAGAAGGAATCAAGAGTCAAAGGAGAAGCAAGGGAGTGTACAATAACGAAATACAACTAGGGGGGAAAATTTAGGAGTATAATGAGTTCCATCAAAAGTAGTAGAAAAAACCAGATAAAAAACACCAAGACAGGCCATTCTTCTAATAGAATCAAATGATAGTAAATCAGAATTCATACTGTAAAGTACTGAGGAGAGATGTCACAAAAAAATTTATAACAAGTGTAAGACACCATATGTTCCCATGTTTAAAGGTAAAACTTGTACTGGGTCTGGCTGGGATGGAGCTAATTTTCTTAAAAGCAGCTCAAATTGTGCTGTGTTTTGCATCTGTAGCTAAAACTGTCTTGATAACACATCAGTGTTTTATCTATTGCAGAGCAGTGCTTAAGCAACATCAAGACCACCTCTGTTTCTTACTCTGCTGTCCCCTGGCGAGAATGCCAGAGGTGGGTGAGAGTTTGAGACCAGACACAGCCAGGACCACTGACGTCAGCTGACCAATAAACTGAGGAGTAGTCTTTCCAAAGTACCCTTAGAGTCTGTATGGGGTCAGTCATTGTTCTGCTGGTAGGAGGTGATAAGTGCTTGCCTCTTCATCACTTGTTTTTTTTCTTTTCTCTCTTTCCTTTTTCTTTTAATCTGTCTTCATCTCAGCTCATGAATTTTTCTTGCTTTTGCTCTTACAGTTTTCTCCTTTCCTCTGGGGACAAGGAGTGAGTGAGCAGCTGGTGCTTAGTTGTTAGCTGGAGTCAATCCACCTCAAAAGTGAAAGTGAGCTGGGATAAAAAGGTGACATTCAAGAGAGATTCTGTTAGAAATTATGTTAGTCTTGTGAGTTTCTACTGACATGAGGAAGACTGTTAATAAAATCACTAATTTTAAGGAAACTGTTGAGGCAATGAAACATAGATCATACAGAACTGTAAAATGATAAAAAATAAGTTACGTGAAATAGAGAGTGATTTTTTAAAAATGGAAAAACATTGAGTTAGATAGGAATAGAAAGCATGGAACTGAGAGAAAGAAGGCGAATATGAACTCACAAAGAATCTTGTTTTATTACAGTCTTTCACTATAGTGTTCTTTCTACTTTCATGCTGATTTAAAACTCATATAACTTCACTGAAATAATACAAAACAAGTTAAATGCTTTTAAAGATTATACAATTTAACATATTATAGAGAAAGATATTTTTATTATACCTATACTGTAATGTATATGTGGACTATGCATCATACACATAATATACATATGCATGTACACATACTGCATGTACACATTATGTAGTAGATAATGTGTACACATTATGTAGTAGATAATGTATACACATTCTACACACATATTTAGTATGTGTATATGTATACAAATGATAGAGTATATATCTCTGTGTGTGTACATATTATATGAATAACGTACATATTAAAAAAAGTAGACGATAGTCACCTCTACCTTTGTTTTTGGTTGGGGTTTTCTAGCTTTGATGGGTTTGGTTTTGTGGGTTTTTTTGCTTGTTTGTGGTGTTGTTGTTCTAGTTGTTGTTGTTGTTCCAAGCCCCTCTTCATCTTGAATAAATGCATGGCTAATCTTGTTCATCCAAAGCTTGTGTAACAGCAGAGAGTATATCTGCCTAGAGAAGGAGGAGAAATTCTCCTTAAAACAGACAAAAGGAAAAGACGAAAAGAGAAAGGGGAAAGGGGAAGGGGGAGGAGAAGGAAGGGAAGGAAATTACTCTCTCACTCTTTCATTAGGGGTCAATAATGATTTCAGCAATATTGTGTCACAGTTACATATAGTGCATGGGTAATAAAAATAAAATAGCTTAAAACAGCAATAAGAACAAAACAAGTAAACAAAGAGAAATAAAACAGAATATTGGTAATATACTGTCTTTTGAACATTTTCGATATTTCTTTTTGTGGATTGCTGCATATCACTACAGCTTGCAAATGCATCTACACAGAATGCAGTGGATTGGAGAGTGACTTCCAGGTTAAAACACTTATTGTAGCTGTTGCTGGAACGCTAGCTCTAGGAAGCTCTTCCACTGTCTTTTTGCTAAGCTACACCAAATCTTGAATGACACAGAAAAAGCAGATAGCCAGCATAATTCTCTGAGGCAACTTCCAGTGATCACACTTACAAATGTCTGATTCCTCGTCTTAGGAGAGCCTTGAAACCCAGACCACTCAAGTAGCATTAATGTCACCAATCTTCTAAGACCAAGACTCTGCTCCTGCAACTCCAGGCAATTTTTAGCCTGTGTTATTTTCAAATCCAGTAAATAAGTATTTCAATAGTTGTTCACCATAACTTCCAGAACTATGAATAATAACTGCTAATTATTAGGTCCATCTATTCCATCTTGTTATATCTAATCACCACGTCTGTGTTTGGCAGAGTAAATTTCCTGTTGTGGAGAAGAGAGTAGATAAGTAATTAATACTTTCCTATTTTTGTTGGGTTAGAATACCTTTCAAATAAACACCTTTGCTCTCCTCCTAGTCCTCTCTCCCACCATGAAAGCAAATTCCGTAAAATTGATATCAAAGAATCTGAACTCAGATTTATGTTTTTCAACAATGTTCCTCATATTTGGTTCCAGATGCAACTAATTTTTCATCCAACCTGGCAGCCGCAGCCCTGAGAGGCTGCAATTGAGCTCCGAGGATATATTTCAAGACCATAAAGCTGAATATCCATAGTTCAAACTGGCTTGATATTGAGAAATATCTTTATTACACAGGGGCTTTTAAGTCCTCAGACTAAATAAACACTACAGTGCTTCTCTCGCATGAACTCCTGCTGATTGTTAGGGAGTTTCTAAATCTGGTTTTGGTTTTGGTTTCTTCATTTGTTTGTTTGGTTTGGTTTTTTGGTTGGCTTTCATTCATCTTTTATTATTAATATTTAATTTAGGTTTTTTATTGGAAGACTATTTCAAAAGATCTGATCTGTATTTTCTGGTCTTAAACATCCAACTGACCAGTCAACACAGAAATTTTTTGCCACTTAAAATAACCCACTGTTTCAAAACAAGGACCTTTGCCAAAAATATCTGCAGTATTTTTTAAGGATTATAAGGATTCTGTCACTTTGAGAATTAGGGAGTCATAACATTCCCTGCATCAAAGCAGGCACTAGCATTTTTCAAGTGTATATGGTTCTGCAACAACAGAAAATTAATTTTCTTCAAATTTCTTCTCTTTCTACTCATGTCTCTATTTGAGCACAATTTCTTTTGCAAAATAGTAATGATCCGTTTTTCAATATAAGCTAACACATTATTTATTTATCTATTTTTGATGATGGGGATAGTACACAGTACATGGAAATTCTTGATTAAATGTCTATGAGCATTTCAGAGCACTTCACAGAAGCACAGAATGGGTCAGGTTGAAAGGGATCAGAGTGGGTTACATCCGGTCCAACCTCCCTTCTCAGTCAAGGTCATCCTAGAGCACATTGCACAGGATTGTGTCCAGATGGTTCTTGAATATCTCCAGGCAGGGAAACTCCACAGCCTTTCTGGTCAATCTGCTCTAGTGCACAGTCACTCACACAGTAAAGAAGTTCTTCCTCATATTCAGGTGGAACTTCTCGTGCATCAGTTTCTACCTGTTACTTCTTGTCCTATTGCTTGACACCACCGAGAACAGCCTGGTTCCATTCTCTTGACACTCTCTTTTCAGATACTTATAGACCCTTATGAGCTCCCTTCTCAGTCATCTCTTCTTGAGGCTGAACAGGCTCAGGTCCCTCAGCTTTTCCTCATAAGAGAGATGCTCCAGACCCTTGATCATCTTTGTAGCCCTCCACTGGACCTGCTCCAGGAGCTCCATGTCTCTCTTGTACTGAGGAGCCCAGAACTGGACACAGGACTCCACATGTGGCCTCACTAGGGCTGAGTAGAGCACCAGGATCACCTCCCCTGACCTGCTGGCAATGATGCTTCCTAATGCACCCCAGAATACCATTGGCTTTCTTGGCCACAAGGGCACACAGTTGGCAATTGACAGCTTGTTGCCCACCAGGACCTCCAGGTCATTCTCTTCAGAGCTGCTTTCCAGCAGCTCAGCTCCTGTAGTGGTGCCTGGGGTTATTTTTCCTCCGTGTCCTAGTTTCAACCAGGACTTTAGTGTCCACCTCATGTCATTGTCGGGGTGGGGTTCTCCAAGGTGTGCTCTCTGGCTTCTCAGAAGAAGGGTGTGGTTTCCAGTTGAAAAAACCCTGGGGCATCGTCTACCTTTGTTCATTGTCTCAGGTTTGGTGAATATTTTGCTTGTGAATCACCCTCGTTGTACACTTTGTTATTTATATTGTTACTGTTCATTTTCTTATTGCGTTGCTGTTTCCAGTAAATTGTTCTTATCCCAACCTGTGATGTTCCCCTTTTATGCCTCCAATTCTCAACTTCATTGCACTGGAATGGAAAGGGGGAGGGGAAGGGGGTAGCGAGCAAGCGGGATCCGGTTTGGGAGAGTCTTGGTGGGGGCATTGAATTGAGGAGTATCATTCCTAAATTGTGAGAATCAGGTGCAGGGCCATGCATTTACACTTACTGAATTTTAGTAGGTTCTTCTCTTTCCATCTCTCCAATCTGTTGAGATGTTTCTGGAGGGCTGTACTCTGGGGTATCAGCCATTTCTACCAGTTTTGTGTCATCAGCAAACTTAAGGAGGAGTCATCTACCCCTTCATCCAAGCCATCGATGAATAAGTTAAATAATATAGAATCTTAAGGGCCACCACTAATGGCAAACCTCCAACTAGACCCTGTGCCACCGTTTACGACCCTCTGGGAACTGTCATTCAGCCAGTTTTCAATTCACCTCACTGTCCACTCACCCAGTCCATACTTCCTGAGTTTGCCTATGAGGATTTGTTAGAGACAGTGTTGAAATCCTTGTTGTAGTCAAGGTAGACAATATCCACTAGTGTCTCCCTCATCCATCCAGGTAGTTGTTTCATCATAGAAGACAATCAGGTTGGTCACTTATGATTTACTTTTAGTGAACCCGTGTTGTCCACTCCTTATCATCTTCTCGTCATCTATGTGGATAGAAATGGCCTCAGAATGAGGTGCTCTATCACCTTTCCAGGGATTGAGATGAGGCTGACTGACCATGAGTTCCTTGGGTCATTCTTCTTGCCCTTTTTGCAGACTGAAGTCATAGAATAGAATCATAGAATCATAGAGTAATTTGCTCTACTTCCAGTCCTTAGGTACCTCTCCTGATCACCACAACCTTTCGAAGATGATCCTGAGCAGCCTTGCTATGGTGTCTACCAGCTCCCTTTCCACTTGTGGATGCATCCCATCATGGCCCATGGACTTGGTGATGCCAAATTTGCCTAGGAGTTCTTAACCCAATCCAACTGGACCAAGGGAAAGTCTCCCTTCCAACATTCCTTCACCCTGGTCTCCCGGCTCAGAGATTTCTGAGGTCTGATCTTGTAAGTGAAGACTGAAGCAAAGAAGGTATTCGGTTACTCTG